TATTATTGCTTATACTCTCTCTTCAACAAAATTAGAGATAAGGGCAAAATAGTTTCTGCCGGGTATCGAGGGGGTGGGGGGAGAGGGAGGGGGCGGAGTGGGTGGTAAGGGAGGGAGTGGGGACAGCGGGGAGAAATGACCCAAGCATTGTATGCACATACGAATCTTAAAAAATAAAAATTAAAAACAAAAAAAACCAAAGGGGTTTCACTGTGCTATTTCTATGCATGCATCAAATTTGCTCCCTCTCTTACTCTTTCAAATTCTCATTGAAATTTTCAATGGGGTTCACTATTTTATTTTCATGTATGCACATGAAGTACTTCAATCCTATTCATGTCCCCTTTACCCACTTCTTTCACACTCACCTCTCCTGCTGGCTCCCAAACCTCAAACAGCTCCCCTTTTCAGATTTACTCTGAAAAATTCCTCCAGAACCAGTTTAGGAACCAAAAAATGCTATCATCTCACTTAAGTACCTATATACTTGGCAATTATCAAAATCAAATCTACCCCAAATAATTAACATTTACCCTCATTACAGATCTTAAAAGCCTGTGCTTCCTGTAAGTTCAAGAATTATAAGAACTCCCAAATATTTTAAGTAATGGCAGCATCAACTGAATATGTCAGTAATTTTTAAAAATAACCTCTTTAGGGAGAAAAAAAATACCTCTCTAATTCAGAATAAATTCCAGTAGCACTACTTAAAAATCAGCCAGGTATCAAGACCAAATTGAAAAATGTTCCAAGGGAATTAAATTTTTATCACAAACCAGCAACAATCAAAGTGTGGTACTCTAAGTTTCTGTCATATTGCCAGAACACTGCTATTCCAACAATAGATGGCAGAGCAGTGAAAACCTGATGGTCTTCATTGAAGTTCAAGTTCTGACATCAAGTAGACATGGCTCAAATTCTTACCACTCACCACGTGTGTGGCCTGGACGCATTACTGAACCTTTTATGTTCTCATTGTCTGCAAGATGAGAACATTATCACTATACATGGATTTGGGGAAGACTAAGGTTGGTTATACAAGCACACTAGTGTGGTGTGTATGACAGATCTCCCTTAATAAATGTACTTGTCATTATTTTGTGCTTGGCAAATAGAAAGTCCTGTATATATCAGGAACAGATAATAAAAATAACAAAGATGAGGGGCTGGAGATGTACCTCAGTGCATGCTTAGCTCATGCAAGGCCCTGGATTCAGTTCCAGCACCAAAAAAAAAAAAAGAATAAAAAATAAGCAAGACAGACCAGCATCAGGGATGCCAACATTCATTATGAATTTGTAATTATCTTTCAATGTCCTAAAAAGGCAGACAGGTTAGAGGAAACAACCTCTAGGAGACATGCAAAGGATGTGCCAACAGCCAGACTCACTGCAAAAGGTTTGACTGAACTCACACTGACCTGTCTGTGAGACTGTACACTTGTGTCTCTGGCCCTGTAGATGGAAGGTCTCCTGGAAAGATCCTGCTCACTCACAACCAATGGAGGGTAAGATAGAATCCCGAAGGCAAACGGAGAATAGGAGCCAAGAGATACATTGACCAGCGCTGTCCAAACAAAAGGACAGTCCCAGCCAAGCCTGTGCAGCCCCAAGTCTGTACTCAATCCCCCAGCACACATCTCCCCTCCAAACCAGAATTGCCTCAATCCCTACTCTAACCTCCAGAATTACTCTGGCTAATTTCAATGAAGGTGATTCTTTGAGCCATGAAGGGAAATCATTCCTAAGCTGAGAATCGTGGGTCTCTCTGTGAAGCACCTGAAGATTACTTATACATGTGCTCAGAACACAAGCTCCCTTCCCACGTTCCACAGACAGATGTGGGGTGCTGAGTGCAAATACAGGACAGTTGTACTTCAGCTGCTGGGATAAGAAATAGCCAAGATGGAGGGTGGAGAGATCATAGCTTCACCTGAACGTGGTATCAGAGAAGCTGCTTTGTGCACATCAAACACGTGCCTCCAAGCACTTGTAAACATGGAGTCCTGCTCTTCTGGACTAGGTGACAACTTAACGCTGACAACCTGCTCTGCCAGCCAGGGAGGCTGAGCAGCAGGACTGGCATTCATCAGACAAAGGCCTGGAGATTACAGCCACTGGAGTGGAGAAGCAAGACTCTTTCATTTCTCCCTGCTCTAAAAACAGGCATCTCCTTGAAGAAAGAAGGTGACTTCTCCATTTTGTGACAGAACTGCAACAAAAGCCCAGCTCCCACACTAGTGAAGACTTTGGGGAAGCTAACTGATTTCATTCCTTAATCTGCAAACCATGGATCATAACACCAGCCCTCCCCACTCACAGGCCAGTGCTGAGGACCTAACAATAATACAGACTTACATTTGCAGGACACTTTATAGGGTGTTCTCATGCTATCTTCCTTGGCCCAAAGGGATAGCAATGATATCTATAACTGTATTATTTTCCTTGTCAATTTTCTCTTAGCACTGTGAGCCAAGAACCACAAAACAGTATCAACATTCTAGTGTGAAAGAGGAGACCTAGCAGTTTGTCAATAAAGGACAGTCAGCAGACCCAGAATGCAATTTAATCCTGCAGAGATAGAGGGCAATGCTTAAAGGGACTATTCTTCTTGGGAATGCCTGATCTTTCTCTGCTAGAATCCACAGTCCAGCTGGAGATAAGTGGAGGAAAAGAACATTCAGGAAATGAAGAACTACTCAGGAGGTGGAAACCGGGAGGACAATAGTTTAAGACTAGCCCAGGCCAAAAAAAAGAAAGAGAGTTAGTTAGACCCCATTTCAGCCAAAAGGTTGACATGCAGTGGTGTGTGCCTGTCATCCCAGCTACGTGGGAGGTATAGGTAGAAGGATCACAGTCTGAGGCCAGCCTAGGCAAAAACATGAGATTCTATCTGAAAAATAAGTAAAGCAAAAAGGGATGGAGGTGTGGCTCAAGTGGTAGAACACCTGCCTAGCAAGCACTAAGGCTCTGAGTTCAAACCCCAGTATGGCAAAAAAAAAAAAAAAAAAAAAAAAACAGGAAAGGTTTTTTTTTCTCCTCAATGGTGTTAGCCTTCAGGACCAGAAGGGCAGAGCCTGGTAGCCAATTCATGGTGCTTCAGCCAACAAATCTTTAAGACAACCATCTCCACCCACTGCAGTCTTCCCTTCCTTGTTCAATTCTTCTTCTTTCAACAAATATGAACTGAGCTCTAAGTGCTAGGCACTAGTAAAACCATTGAGGGGGGAAAAAAAAGACATAATCTTCATAATCTTTTCCTCCCTGGGGACTAGAGGTTCAGGGTGGGGAGCATGAAACAGACAACCACACAGCACTGCTGCAGAGGTGGGAATGCCCAATGGGCACAAAACTGTCTGAGCAGCCAGCATGGCATCATTTCCTGTGAGTGTGCCAAACATGGATTAAGCACATGCTGGGCCTCCCCAGCTGCAACAGAAGCCACACCACCAATCAGTGAGGGGCCACGGGCAGGAGGAGGGTGTAATTACCCACCAAGCACCAACACTCTAGGCAGGCAAAACATGCTGTCTTCCAGCTGTTTGTGTATCATTAGAAAAGAGATTAAGATGTCATTAAGAAGAAATTAAATAATGTTCATGTTGTCGTGACAACAAAGACGCAAGCTGCCAGATCCTGCTCTAAGTAAAGCTTGCCCACACACAGCCCCTCTCTTGAGATCCACTCTGGGGAGACTAAGGAGGAGACTCTGCCTTACCAGTGTTCTTCCCCTTGTAGAAAATCTTCATGTCCATCAGCCCTGCGAGCTGGCTGGCCAGGATCTCCATCTGGGACCCGCTGTACTTGGAAGCTCGGAATATGCTGAGCTGCGACCAGTCATCCCAATAGATCTCATTCTAAAAAGAAAACCTTTGCCTTTATTGGTTGAATGATGGGCCTGACCAAAATTCCACTTGAACCCAAGAGTCAGTGATGATGCTGAAACCTTACCAACTACCTACATGAAGAATTGCCCTTAAGAAACTATCTTGTAAGCATTCAGTTTTGACCCTGCTGGGCTCCTGTTTGAAATCTGTTTCCCAATGCTGGGCAGCCATTTTGTTCTCTAGAGTAAAAACAACTGAGAGACAACATAGGGGGCACACAGCTCACCTTACATCTGTGGGCCATGAAATCAGCAAGTCAAATAAGAAATGAGGACACAACCAAAACAAGTCTACTGGCACAGAAGAGCAAACTGAGAGCACTCCTGGAAATAGCCTCAACACTTAACCTTGAAATGTGAACAGTGGTGGAAGCCATGACCCCTGGCATCTCTGTCTACCACCCCTAAATAGGGGCTGAAATGAGTTACCTCAAACTCAGAAGAGAGCCAATTTCCAAGAAGCTAGACAGCAGCTTTGCAAAAACCCAAATGTCCCTCTCAGCAGCTCAGCGTGCTCTTCGCCTGCTCTAACCGACTGCACAATGGTGGGACAAATGAGAACTTGCCTTGAAGACAGCAATGGCATAGGGGTGAGGGAGGTTGTCCAAGATGACTGAGCGCTGCTGGCCACTGAAAGTGATGCGCTCAATACAGTCCAGGTAGGCATCCGTCCAATAGATCCACTGGTCATCCACAGAGATGCCATTGGGCCACTTCACATCCTCCGACACAAGACGATGGGCAGCAGAACCATCCATATTGCTTCGATAAATACCAGGCTTCAGGTCTCCCCAGTCAGTCCAGAACATCACCCTGCACAAAGCAGGACAGAACACACATGTCATCAAAATGAGACATGGGAGCTCAAATACAACTACAGAAAGGCAGGAAACCTCTAGAACACAATCATTTCTGTAATCACCTGTACCTGCAATATCTGATAGCATTTAATTCCTTGACCCAGAAACTACTCTACTGGAACTTATCCATACCAAATTATTCAAAGATAATGTAAGAAGAAATATACATACATCTATTAATCTAAACATAAATTGGTAGAGGAAGTAACACATGATGGTCCATTCAATAGACTACTGTGAAACCTAAAAATCTCCGTGTGCCCAAATGAAACCATATGTCTTTTAGAAGGCACAAAATGGTAAATACACTATGATTCCATTTAGTGTATGCAAGCGGGGGGCACAGGTTTTAAGGATAATGCTTACACCTGGGTAAAAATACTTTTGAATGATACATAAGAAACCACCAACAATAATTCCCCTTAAGGAGTATGTGGATGAAGGATTAAGAATGAGACCAGAAAAAATAATGCCTTGTTTCATAAACTTCTGTTCTCTTTTAATATCTTTGATCAAATACATAGATTACTTTTAGAATTTTCTTTTAAAAAACATTGCTAATTCTTAACTCAATGGGGGAGGGAGACTTATCCAGAATTTCCCTCTTAGTTATGTTTCCTTTTGTTAAGGAGTTAATAAAAAGCATCTCTGCATTCCCCAAGTACATACTTGGGGAACATACTTGGAGTACATATTTTGAGTAAGAAAACCCATACATGCTGAGGGGCATGGGGGGGGCACTCATGGAAAAAATGGGTTCAAGTAAATGTTTGTGCCATGCATGAAACTCAAGATAGAAAAAATACCACAATATATAAGCAGGCCTGCTTAGTCTACAGAGACTCCCTTTCAACATTACCTTTTCTAGAGAAACATCTCACAGATGCAAGACATCTGGATGCCTAAAGAGAGTCTGATGCCTGCTGATGAGAAGCACATGGATACCTGACCATGATGACCAAACTGAACATTCAGAACGCTCTGTCAATAGATTATTTCCTCCACATTCATGAGAAGCCAAGTTTCCGCCCACAGGTTTGCATGTGCATGAGAATCTATTGTTGCAGCATTGTTTTGTTGTTGCGGCACTTAATACAATGCTGACTTCCTTTCAGAAGACACACTTACCCCTCTTGAGGCATGAGGACCAGAGCCCTGGGCCGATCAAGCACAGAGGAATTGATGATTGTGAGTCGGAAGTCACCATCAGGATTAGCTACCTGACCAAAAAAAAAAAGAGGATGGGAGGCCAGGATGGATCTGAGTTCCTTAAAAGACCTCAATGCCAAAGCCCCCTATCAGCTACTGCCTACAGCTCCACACCCTCCCTCCATACCCGCAATTCCCATTCCAAAGCCATCTGGGAAATTTGCCTCAATTGCCAGTCAGAAACAGCTGAGCCCATCTCTGGCTCATGTGACAATTTTTACATAGTCTGAGGGAGGAGTCTGAACTATGTGTGCTCCCCAACCCTATTCCCAGGGCATGATGATCTACACAAAGTACAGTGATCCCTTGATATGTACAGGGTGTTGGCTCCAGGATCCCCCCACACAGATAGCAAAATTCAAGAATGCACAAGTCCTTTATATAATATTGTGCAGTATGCACATCGTCCTGGACACTTTGCATCAGCTCTACAATACTCCTCATACTGACTACAGTGTAAATGCAATGCAAACAGTTATTACACTGTGTTGTTTAGTGAATAATGACAAGACAAGAAAGTCTATACGTGCTCAGTGCAGTTTTGTTTTGCTTCTCTGAATACTTTCAATCCTCGATGTAAAACCACAGAGCTGGAGGACCAACTGTACTCCATCTGTGTTTACTACTTAACTCACCCATGTAACTTCTTGCTCCAGCCACTGACAGCTGTACACTGCCCACAAAACAAATTTACAGTATGGCAGCCTTATAACAAAGAGTATGTCTTCTTTCTCCCTCTCCCACTTTGGCTGGGCTGGTCATTTAATGGTTCTCTAAGTCTGAAACACATTCACTCCTGTTTGCTCCTGCCATATCCATCCTAGGCTTGCTCTCCCCACCTCTCTCTGTAAATCCAGGATAACTTCCCTTCAGCTCCAGGCCTGCCTCCTCTCCTAACTCTTAATGACCACTCTGGTCAAAGAGCAGCACTAACTAGCTGTGGTCACAGACTCTCCTGCACCTCACATACTTCTTTCAACAGCCCTCCCTTCCCAGTCAGGCTCAGCTTGGATGCAGCAGCCCCAGGAGTCTCCCCTTGCCAAATTTCTTAATACTGCCCCACTCCTCTATCACGTGATTGCAATCACATCACCTGCTTTATGCTCTTCACTGATTTATTTTTCATCATTTTGCTTCCTCCACCGAAATTTCAGGTCTATCAGTATGCCTTGCCCACTGCTGTACCATCAATCCTGAGACCAAGTCTGGCACATATTACACACCACAGAGCACTTGTCAGATGGCTGAATGAATTAATGCATACACATCAAGAAACTGCAGCTTAAAGAAGTCTTTCACCCTACATCACTTAGGCTGAATCCAAGGCAGCCTCTCAAGGCTGGGTCTCTCATTGGCTCCTTTTGTCTCCCTGCTTCTGTTGTGCTTCCCACCTGGCCCATATGCCACACCTCAGGTAGTGCCAATCAAGAGCTGCTGAAGCAGTGCCCCAGGGCCTCAGCAGTAACCTGCATGGCTGGGTGCACCTAGGCTCCCTGACACCATGCCTTTGGTTGGTTTCCAGATCATTTATTACCCTCATGTTGCCTTGGGTACCCAAGTAAGACAGGTTACTGGGTAGCTAAGTAGCAACTAGGTAGAGATTAGTAATAATGACAGTCGTCATTACTCTAGAATAATACTGGGCTATTACTGTTATACTACCATTTTTATCATTCTTGTTATTATACTATGCCTCTAATTGGCCAAAGTATAAAACTTTCAGGTATCTTAATGGAATTTCAGGTATCCTGTTCCTATGTGAAACTTTCAGGGAAGTGTACAATCCTTCTGAGATGACCTCTTTTTCTCCCTTCTGTAAAGGCTCAGCTGGTTGATTCTTAGGAAATTTCCAGAGGTATTGACATGCTAGCTCCTACCCCATGTCAAATCTGGCTCAAAGCCCAGGTGCTCTACCTGCTCACTTACTCAAGAAAAAACACGAGAATACACATCACATACCTCAATCTTTTTAAAGCCAGCATCCACCCAGTATAGTAACTGGCTGAGGGGCTCAAAGGCCAAAGCCTCTACTGTCTCCAGGCCGGAGCCGATGATCACCTCCTGTCCTGTACTCCCATTCAAACAGAGGCGCTAGGGACAGAAGAGCAGTAATGAGCAGTGTGAAAGGCTCAGATGACTCAATGCAAAGCAGCCCCATGGATGATAACCCTTTATTCAACTGGCTCACTGCCAACGGATGAAACGTTCTGTACACACATAAAGCTGGGTTTTAATAAGAGCATTACTAAAATCTATTATGGTTTTCTATTTTAAACAGAATAACAAACAGAATGAATCATTTATACTACTCTGCATTATCATTATAAACACTGGTTACTAAACCATGCTCTGTATCACAATAATGAGGCCGGAGATTACTGAGATAGGAGTCTGTTGCTTCTAAAATAAATGAAACCAGACTGCTCGGATTTTTTGACTTGTGTCTCCTTTTCATCTTTCTTCCTTTGCAAGGCTCTTGGCTGTAAGGTGCTACTGTTGGGACAGCTACATCAGCATCATCACAACCCAACCTCCCACATACCCAGGAACCCTTAAACTTCTATTAGATTGGAAATATAGATAAAACTTGTTGGAATTGCTCTTCTAAAATGATTAATTAGATAATGAACAAAGATCAAATAGCTCTCCTTCAAAATGCATGGATTTCAGGATCAGGTTTGTGGTGTGTGTGTGTGTGTGTGTGTGTGTGTGTGTGTGTTGATGTTGTTGGAACTCCTGGGCTCAAGTGATCTTCCTGCTTCAACCTACTGGTAGCTGGGACTAGAGTTGTGTACCACTGCATCTAGCCACTTCCAGGTTCTCACCTGTGTTCTGAATAACTAAAGTAGATACTTATGGAACTGTGGATAAGTCAAGTGTCCTTATATCCCTTGGACAGAAAGATGCTAAAAAGCAGCTAGCACAATACAGGGTGACTAATTATCCTATATTACTAGTCCCAGAATTTTCCCAGCAGGAAAAGTGACGCCACACTTCAAGTATGTGAATTTGGGACTTCCTTTGTCCTTCCTATATGGACAGAGGCAGCCAGGGCAGAAAAATACGCAAACAGAAAATTAAAAATTTCCACCTGTCAGTCTTAAGATGAGTTACCAGTTTCAAACCCACCACAACCCACATCCTGAAGCTTATTTAGAACGGGCAGTCATTAGGCACAGCCTAATGATCAGACAAAGGGCTGATGGACTCACCTGGATGGAGTCCAAGGCCAGGTCAGACCAATACAAGCAGTTGTGCTCATAGTCAAAGTCCAGTGCTACTGCCGCCCTCAGTCCTGTGAGTGGCAATTGCTCCGTGGCACCAGACGCAAGGTCATAGCGGTAGATAGATTTGCGTGTGGCATACAGGATGAACTCATTCTCTTCTACCAAATACAAAACAACAGGGAACCCAGGGGTGCTGGAGAGCTTCTAGCAGGTCTGACCGGCTTCTTCACACACACACACACACACACACACACACACACGAGACACACACACACACAGACACACAGACACACACACACACATACATAAGACACACACACACAGACACACACACAAGACACACACACAGACACAAGACACACACACATACACAAGACACACACACACACACACACACAAGAGACACACACACAGACACAGACACACACACAAGACACACACACACACAGACACAAGACACACACACAGACACAAGACACACACACACACAGACACAAGACACACACACACATACACAAGACACACACACACACAAGAGACACACACACACGAGACACACACACACGAGACACACACACACGAGACACACACACACGAGACACACACACACACACACACACACCCCTCAACCCCTTGTCAGATATTGTGGATCAAGGGAAGGAGCCCAGGAACCCGGGCTTGGAAGGCATGTCCCAGAGTCATAGTCCTGACTTGGGCAAGTTACTTAAACTCCAGTGAATCTATTTCTTCACTTACAAATGTTTTATTTGTTAGTTTCTAAAAATTTGGTCACCCAGTAAACATGCTTCTGCATCCATACTTCTGAGCTCAGCCTAAAAGTCTTCAGTCACACTCATCAACATAAGTGAGCCCAATCACCAAGTTATCCCTCATCCAATGACTGTGTCCCATAACACCGTCACCTATTAGTGATGGTGTTACTTGACTATTAGTCACTCAAGGCTGTAACTAAGTTTCTGACCAACCTGCTTACTTATTCATATGGTTCACAATGAAAAATGGCAATTAAATCAACCTGTTCGATTTTCAAAATAATAATACATTTGTTCTGTATTGTTTACAAAATGTTTCAACAACATAATCACCACAAAAATTCTGTGTCTGCTTAACAAATACTTTTGTGTAACTATGTGCACTTACTGTGTAACAGGCATTGTTTAATCCTCACAACAACAGTACCATGGAAGAATTATCATGAACCCAACTTACAAAGGGAAAAAATGAGACTGGAGAGGTTAAGTAAGTCACTCAAGGTCACACAACTAGTAAGTGGCAGAACCATGACCTGAACCCAAGCAATCTGGATCTAGAGTTTGTGCTTTAACTACTATACTCTGCTGCCTTTTGTGATGTGGGTATGAATGATGTCATTTTTAAAGACACAGAAATAGAAGCCTGTGGTGTTTAAGAGTCTTATCCAATCTCAGACAACCAGTAAAGGGAAGACCTAGTGCTCTTACTTTCCACTAGGAAATAGCCTGGAAGACACCCAACTTCCTCCACAGGAGGAGCTGGGATCACATGAGCATCCCTATCTACGGTTTCCATGCAGGAGTTTCTGGAGAGCCCAAAACACGGAGGTGCCTGCCAGGTGTTATGCTCAAAAAGGACACAGAAGACCCATGCCCTCAGTCACACCTCTCCTGATGCATGTCTTCCATCTAGCTGTTCGTCCATACCCTTTTAATATCTTTCATAACAAAAGAGTAAAACAGCACCCAACCCAAAGAAGTTGGAGAGAACAAACCATATAGGCAAGACCCAGGAGCTTTCACAGTGCCACTCTGAAGAAGGAATTAGAGACAAGAGGGTCAGAAGTCAAGCCCATGCTGAGTTCTGAAGGACAATCTTCAATGCTGTTATTTTTGAATCTGTGTACCTACCCAAATATTTATGACTTCTGAATCTCCCTAGAGAGAGTAACAGTAAAAAGCTCTTTAAAGCAAAAAAAAAAAAAAGAAAAAAAAATAGTTAAGCATCCATTTTGACAGTATGTTACATATGGAACCAAGATGCAAATCTGAATCCCTTTGCTCCATGCCTGGACTAGCTAAGTCCCCTCCTCCACCCCCACTCTCATCCTGTTCATTCACTGAGTTCACATACACTAGCCACTGTTTTTTTATATAAAGCCTTCAATATCAGTAATGCACTGAAAAAATTAATTCTCTGGGCTGATGATATAGTTCAGTGGCAGAGCACTTGCTTAACATGTGTAATACCCTGGGTTTGATCCCTAGCACTGCAAAAAAATTAAATAATAGATAGATCCACCTAAAAATTTGACTAAGGTAAGGAGAATTGCCTTCTTTTCCCTTGGCTTCACTTTAGTAGTATCTCAGTTACCATCCATGGTAACTAAATGTCTCCTTTTGTTGTTATAATTCCCAGGCAGAAGGAGAGTGAAGACACAGGCTCATGGAGAAACACATCATGACC